ACGGCTGGCTCCTAACTGCTGGCCTCCCTGCCTGCCTGATCCCCCCTAACCACTCTGCCTGCCTGCCTGATGCCCCTAATGTTCACTTGCCTGCCTGACCACGCCTAACCGCCTCTACCTGCCTTCCTGATCGCCCCTAACCACTTGCCTGCCTTCCTGATCACCCCTAACTGCTCGCCTGCCTGCCTGATAGCCCCTAACTGCTCGCCTGCCTGCCTGATCACCCCTAACCACTCACCTGCCTGCCTGATCAGCCCTAACTGCTCGCCTCCCAAACTGATCACCCCTAATCACTTGCCTGTCTGCCTGATCGCCCCTAACTACCTTGGCCTCTGCCCCCACTGCTGTGGCTTCATCATCCGGAAGGTTGTTTGGCTGTCCAGTCTAATTAGCATATTATGCTTTTATTATTATAGATATTCCCTAAACTCAGAAAACCCTATTCACACATACCTACTACATACAGAGAGAGCCCACTTAAAAAAGGTTTTATGTTATGTATTGTGATTTTCAAATGAAACCATACCAATACACTAGCACCTTTCATTTCTGTTCTTAATCTTCACAACATGCTTACCAAGAAAGAAAAAGTCAGTGGACTAAAAATGAAATACTGAAGCCTACTGTCCTGTTTGCTAGACCTGTACAATGTTGTTTTTGTCTAGGCAGCCAGAACACAGTTGTTCAATAGGGAAGGAAAGTCTGATTGATCTTAAAGAAATATCCAGTAACATAACTTGGGAACACATCTGAAATGTGTTTTTAAATGTTTTTTTTAATTTCTGTACAGTTACACATAAATTTATTACACAGAAAAGTTATATTAGGTTAAGTGATCAAAGTTGACCAAATCTGTTAACTTTACTTTGGAATCAGACATTTTAACACCATTCACACTCTCCCCCAAAAGACAAGCCTCAGCTGATAACTTTCACATAGTAATTACCTTCTCTACATTCCTAAAAATGAACTATGAACTAATATGAACTGTCATCTCTTTATAGGTATTTGACTTCCAATTAAAGCATTCACTGCTCCAAATAATCTACTACATAGAGTAATTACTAGCCTATCTCCTGCTGTTTTAGACAGACTTCATTCAGATCCATACTGCTTATTTTAAATCAATTTAGAAATTAAAGTACAGCCAGAATACAATAAGTTGGTTGCATTTTTTTTTACAAAAAAAATAGTGGTTTTTCAATATCCACATCTAAATCCTTAACACTGCTTAACACTCGTTTCATAAAGCAAATGTTTACTTGTTAGATCAATCAAGTTACACATTTTCTCTGAGACCCTAAGGAAGACTCAACACTGGACTAAAGTATTTTCTAATAAAGGTGTTTTACTGTAAACTAGACCCTAATTTTTATTAATCCCAGGCAATTTGTTTCAAATCATAGCTCTGTTCACTTTTGTCTTAAAACTATTTTCTTATATCTCTCATATTAGAAACAAAGCTTTGAGAGACATTTTAACCAACCACTATATAATAAAAACCCCAAATAAAAATTAAGGTAAAACTATTACAAAGCAACAAACATACTAACACACATTTCTGGAATATTCTAAAATATATACAAGTAACCAAATAGCAAACATTTAAATAGTATATCCAGACACTGGTAATGCAGAACATGGAAATCTAATTAATGTTTACCTGAGCATATTTTAAATTGTACAAATGCCAAATAAGTTTAACAATGCAGACCTAACCATATCTAAGAATATACTTTTCTTGACATTCCCTCCCAAAAACTATGTCACACATCTGTAGCAACAAAATGCATCCATTTAAAAATAAATGATCTTCACAATGAAATAATAAAAGAATGAGAATCATACTGGAAGTTAAATCATCATTTTAATGTGGACTTGGTAAACCTAAGTTTGTACTAGCAAACAGGGTAGTAGGCTTCAGCATTTTTTGTAGTTCATTGACTTTTTCCCTACCTAAGATTATAAAGGACTTCAAAATTCCCAGAGAGGCTTCAGCACTATTTAAAAACATGTACATCTTATATAAAACCCAAACTAATATGAAAAACCTCGAATCTCACTGACCTTACTTTCAAATAGTTAATAGTTATTTACTTATCATCCATAAGATATATAAACATGATAGAGGAATGTTTTCATAATATTAAAAATTTAAGATTTCAAGTAAAAGATCCTTTCCCATCTTTTTTACTAGGCCTCATTGCTGCTGCTGCTGCTGCTGCTGCTGCTGCTGCTGCTGGTAGAGGTATCTCCTAGTTGGTAGAAGAAACTGTTGACCTTAAACAAATACACAGCCAGATATTTTTCCAGCAAAATGGGTTTATTTGAGAACAATAAAGAATTATATTTCAGGACAAGTGGTCTAAGAAAAGTGGGGAGGCTTAACTGCTTTCAGACTTTTCCTACTGTCTCTGGTTTCTTCATCCATGAACTTGGAAAAAGCTTCTTTGTCCCCATCTCCAACCCACCCACACATACCTCACCCCCACCCTAGCATCTTTCTTTACTAATTCCTACTTTCCCCTTAGGTCTCGCTTACAAATGACTTTTTCCAAGTGATGACTTCTCCCAGCCCCTCCACTCCTGCACCCTCCTGGGCTGTGTGCTCTGCACCATACTATCTTTAGGGGAATAAAATTGGGGTGGAGTAAGTGGATGCTACACGGACACACCGCCAGGACAAAACTGGAATGACAACTAAAATACAGAAAAACTTCCTGAATAATCAACAGAAGACTTGCTGAAGAGAAACCTGATAACCGAGGACCGAAAGTGGAGACTGTATAGAGACTGACAGGAGGGGCGGAGGTGCAAAAGGCCTGGTCATGCTCCCAGAGACAACATCTGAAGTTCCAGAGAGATATCTCAGCTGTGGGAAATTGCCACTGAGAACTCTGTGGTCTAATCCCCAAGCCGGGCCCCAGAGCAGAAAGCACCAGAACTGAGAAGGGTACCCAAACTTGTGCTCTGGCAGAGGGAGGGCAGAGTGGACTGGAGCTGCGTGAGCAGAAGCCAGGATTGGGGGCTCTGGGGTTAGAGCTCATAAGTCAGACACTCTGGTTTCCTATGT